TCCATAAGCCTTGACCCTAGCTATAACCCCGTATGGAAGTGGATGGCATTTCATCTTAACAAACAAAGCGTCTGGGTGGGCCATGATGGAGGTATCACAAATTTACAGAAGTCCTGACAATGCGTTTTAAGGAGCTATTGTTGTGACTGTGCTCCAGGAAGAGAAGATGTTAACTCTAATTCGTTCTATACACAGAAGTTGTGTATTTCTGTTATCTCTGACAATCACAGGACATTTAAAAATAGTAGAAGAGACAAAGAAAGGATGTACCTAGTTAACTACTAATGATGTTGTGAATCTTGGTTTTATACCATCATTTTATAATGATAATGAGTTGTTGCTTAATTTCAACTTTATTTTGCTACGAAAACAATCATGTCAATCAATTGGAATAATAGAATTGAAACGCACATGGGGTTTCAACTGTAACCCTAACCCCTAAGCCTTACCATAATGTCTGATATGAGAGGCCTGGTGCTTAGCTAGTGGTAGCTTGTCCATGTTTGATCTTGAGCTGACAATGAGAGAAACGTTAACAAGCGGGTGCTAACGGTGCACCAACGAACAAGCTGCATTTTTAACATGTTCTCAGGTACCGTATTCTCAGCAATTAACATAACTTGTTTTAAGGCACAGTTTCTGCAAGGATTGAGCACTGATATTTTCACAGTATTTCTGTAGCACCTAGACCTGCTTTATAATCAAAAAAGACATCTAATTTTCTACAATATGGGACCTTTAAACCATGTAGAACCATTCATTGCAAGCACTTCAACAAGATAATAGATGCATACTTTCAATTTGCACAACTGTCAATACATGTTCACAATCAGCTACTATAAAGAACAAAAATGAACAGCCACCATCCCAATAATGAGCAAACAGTTACCTGATTAATATATGAGTGAAAGTAAAGTCATAGTAGTGTTTACTATCTTTATAGCAGAAGATTTCTTGAAAATGTTAAAGATAGAAATAAATATTCCTTACCTCCATGTTATATTGGGAGAAAAGCAACAAAGCCACACTAAACTGTGGTCTCCAGTGAAGAACTCGCTGTGTGCAGAGTGTTACCAGGGCTTGTTTGCAGTTGAAAGGAAAAAAGAACCTCCATGGGGTCTATATAGTCCCAGTCTACTATCTACGCACACTGTCTCATTCGGAAAACAATCACACGCTTTTCATATTGGGAGTGTGCCGTGATGCAAAGGGACAGGTGCTTATAAGGAGCACTGGCATCTAACGTCAGAATCTCCATGACCTGTTATGGAGGGGGACTGTGACCAGCCCACAGAGAACCAACATGAGACCACAGAAGTGTAACAAATAGATCCATTATTTCTATTCACATCATAAGAAGATGGTATCAGGGAAGTCATTTTTTCAATTACATGTGTGCAGTAAAGTTGTCATTATGAAACAAAATTAGCACAGGATTGGGTCTGTCATTAGTACAGGGTTAACCCTTCTCTAAGGTAACTTACTTCTTTTGTCTTTTTCCTGCAGGAGGGTCAGAGGTCATGATCATGGTCTGTTACAAAATAGACAAAAGATGCTGCTTCTTGCTCAAAATCTTTTGCAGTGATCTTGAATTGTGGAGTTTAAGGGTGAACTCCTGAACCCAAGGTTGTCAGTGCAGTACATGGTATATGTCAAACTGGATCTGTAATTAAAGCAATAATTGGCTTCATTTGTCAACTTTAAGTTTTGAGTTTTCCAGAGTTTTCCACTGAATTGTTACAGTTGCACACAAGGAACTGTGGATGCGCTGAAGAAGAAAGCTGTGATTTACCTGGAAATATTTCTATCTGCTTTAATTCTACACAGGGAAGCTTTTCCAGTGTCAAGAGTATGAGCCGCCCTCCGGCTGACGCTTTGTTGACAACTCCATACTAAGCCATTTCTCCACCCTTCCGCACCATGTGCTTGTCATGCTTTTTCATCTCTACAGCAGGCTAAAGTTACAGCCACCCCTCTGACAGACCACAGGACGGTAGTACATGTTCTCTGGCAACTGTGCAACGGAAATACTACTGCAACACACACCATCACATAGTGAACCATTTTTAAATAAAGTCTTGTGGCAGTAACTACAAGTTAATATCTTATTGCAAAGCCAATTTTGGTGCCTACTGAAAGTATGTAAAAAATGTATATCAAAAAAAATATTGCAAACAGTTACAAACTGTAGTTTTTCAGGTGAGCTCGCCATTCAAAACCAGACAGAACAGATTGAAAGTGACAGAGGTCATTTGTTTTTAAAAGTAATAATTTAATAGATTAGTCCTAGCTCAACTGTAATGTTTTATACAAAAATAGCTGCAGATGCACCATATTATACAACTTTCATTTTTATATTTAATATAGTGCTTTTAGTATTTGAGTGTGGTGTGTGGAAAGTTGCAATATACCACATGTATACTCAACATGTAGTGGCTTTCAGTGTTTCCATTCACTGGTGACACAGCTCACGTACTGTGCTAGTTGCATGCAAAGGAGAAGGGTCTCCCTTGGCACACACACAGCACAGCTGCAAGTTTTGGAAACACATCGCGTTCTGGGACTATTCATGAAACAATTAAAAGGCCTAGGGCTAATTTTAATAAATAATAGTTGTGTCAAACCTCATCATATTTTTAAAATATTACAAATATCATTTAAACATCATATTTTTAAACAAGAAAAAGAAATAACAGCATTTTTAAAGACACAGTTGCTGAATCAGTTAAAAAGTTAAAAAGGTAGTTCAAAGAGGTAGTTACAAATAAAAAAAAAACAAAGTTATCAAAATCAAATAAGAAAAAGTGGTTAATGTAGAAAACATGCCTTGCAGTGAGGTCAAACAAAAACATATTCTCCAGATGTGATGTGAGATTTTATAACACTGCACTTTATAATCCTAAATGCATGAAACTGACACTTGCGGTTATATTTACTGACACTCAAGGTCATATTTCCCAGTGGCATGCATGTGCACACACACCAAACATCACAATGACTGCACTGCCAGTGTGACATAATAAAGCAGCCACCACAGGGACACTTGTTGAGCTGTTGATTATTAACATATAGCTTAAGTTCTGCACTTTACCTTCCAGCACAGATCTAACAAGGTGGATTCAACATAATCTCTCTGCCAGCAGAAGCACTGCAACAATACACCACAAAGGCATGTAACTTATTTAATATGAATGCATCTTGTTATTTTCTTTACAGCTTTCCTTGTATCTCTTAAGGAATGGGCATCTTTCCCAGCTGTAACACAGCTGGGTGGAGAGAAACTGGAGTTTGCAGCCATGCTAGCAGCTCTATGAGGATGTAATGCTAATCATAAATAAAATACTCAGATACATAAATCAAAGTATTGGACAAATTGAAATTTTGATCAGATAATGGTGCAAGGTCACAAAAACTATCAATGTCTGCACCACAGTGCATGGTAGTCCATCCAGCAGATGTTCGGACAGTTCATTCTCAACTAGAAATGTCAACCTGCTGGTGGAGCTGGAAGACAGGCTTCAGAAGTAAATGCAAATGAAAAAAAAAAAAGAATTCATAACTAAGGATTATTCCAAGATCCATGGTCTGAGGAACATTTGGCACTTCAAATAAAGTTGCTGTGACATCCACACACACACACACACACAGCTGACCCATACCAACCCTGCCTCTGCAACACATACAGCACAAGACTCTAGCTGTTACATCCAATTTCCATTTTTACACATGTAACATCATCTTCATCTTGCTCTCTCTCTTTGACCCACATATCCAGAACATTGTAGTCATGGTATTTGGTCTCTGCTATTCTTAGCTCTTTGGCATGACATTGTACACACTGATCCCTACATTAACACCCCTGAAAAAACACATAGTAGCAGCAGACAAGCAAGTCAGCTTAAGGCCTCTACTGCCAACAGAAGTACTGTACCATGGAGCACAGTAAGTCAAATTACACTGGAGAGCTTTCAAGAGTGACAGAGTGTCTTTTTGGCCTTGGGGGTATGATGCATACTATATACTGAAATTAAAATGTCCCTGGTTCAAATCCAACTGGGGGTCTTTGTTTCATATTATACTCCCTCCTATTATCCAATATCAAAAAAGTCTTTAATGCTATAAAAAAACAAGGCCATTGAGAAAGTCTGTGTCAAGAATTTTAATATTTAAATTCCAGTGGCCCATAGGTATAGCAGCAGCAGTAAATTAATCACATATCCACCCAAGCATACACACATTATCCTTTTAGTGTCTCTTCACTTTAATAACATTCATATGGTTGTAAAACCAACTGTGTACATGGGCACATCCTACACTGTGGTCCAAATACTGTACCTCAGACATGGTAAAAATAACACACCTGAATGTTTAAAAGTTCATCTGATGAAGGTTTTAGTTACTGAGACGTATCCAGTAAAAGCCTGAAATATTTAAAAGTAAACCATGTGCAGGTGATGGTTCTTTTCAAAATAAATCTCTAGCAGTATGCAGACATCCAAACATTAACCATATTGATTGTTGAATATCTCATTCAAAAAATCACCGGCTAAGGAGTTGCCCCACCTTTGCTCCAGTGAGAACATTCACTGTTCTGAGAAGGCTTTCCACAAGAGTTCAGAGACACTGTGTGTATAGCAGAAGGCGTGTCAAGTAAGACTGCTCCTAGAGTGCCTTTCAACAGTCTCTCTCCTATCTTTAGTGTTCAATATATGTGGTCTATTCTGGGATCCTTATGCACAAAGTTGGAGCATTACCAACAGTGGGAGTGGCAGGTCTATCACAATTTGGGTTGCTGGTCTGAAATACATGAAATATGGTCACAATCTCCCCTTCCTGAGTTACAGTGATGGATAATGGCCAGAAGTGATTTTGCAGAACATTATGATGTCACAGTGATGTCATCACTTCATCATTTTCTTATTAGACATTTGTGTTAAATTGTGTCAAAAAATGCCTTTAACCACCAAATTCTAACCAGTTCATCTTTGAGTCCAAGTGAATGTTTGTCTCAAATGTGAAGAAATTCCCTCAAGGTGGTCTTTATTATTGTTTTCCTTTTATTCATTCAAGAGGCTTTTGTGAAGTTGCAGTGACGTTCACTTTTGACCAATAACAACTAATCAGTTCATCCTCGAGTCCAAGTGAACATTTGTACCAAATTTGAAGAAATTCCTCCAAGTTACTTAGATATTTCATTCATGGACAGACAACCTGAAAACGTAATGCCCACTGGCTGTCGCCGGCACAGAGGCATAAATACCTTTGGTCTATCTGCATGAGAACCTCTCAGATTGAGTTAGAAAACAGATCTCTAGACCAATCACATGTCTGGTTCATGTCATCAAAGAGGTAACCATTAGATCCATCCAGACTCCCCTCATTAACTATCTCACTGTCACAATTTCCTGTTTGTGCCAGGCCTCTCTGTGATGATGTGAGAGATGATGGATGTTGATCCAACACATTTCTTTTACAATTAACTCCATCTCCCTGCTGCACTTTCGGCGTAGAATCCAAATTACTGCTGCGGTTATCAGCCTGCCTTCTTCTTCTTAGCTTCACACTCAGTCGTGTTTTAGCAGGAGTAGGAGGAACAATTGTGTCATTGTCCTCATAATCACACACAGTCACATCACAAATACTTGAGTCACATTTGTGGTTAATCCTTACTCTCGAACCCAGGTTTAGAGCCCCTCTCTGGACCCTCAGGTGCTGCTGATCCAGCGGACGATTTTTATGCTTGTTTGGTTTCCAGAACCTCTTTGGGGTAGATTTGTAGTTGTGTCTGCTGGATGTTGTGCTATACACCCAGTTTTCTTTTGTAGACTCCCTCCCACACCGAGGCAGCTGTTTAGCACCGACAGTTTTCAGTTCAGAAAGACAAGGGCTGATTTCTGTCGGCTTTTTACTGCCTATTTCAGGCAGATCACTGTAAAAAGCACACAAATCTTGACTGTCTGGTTGTGAACTGAATTCACTTAACGTTGAGGAGAAGTATGAGGAGACAGGTGACCCTGACACAACAGCTACTTTTACAATTGGGGTGGACTGAATCGGAGGGATGAAGTCAAGGTCTTGTGCGCCTGGTGGAATTAAACTGTCTCTATTAATGCACTTATTGCTTTTCAGTTTCTGTTTGCCTGGTGTTGAATGCGGGACACTAGTCTTTTCAGTCCTCGGGTGCTGTTTGTCTGGACTGGAAAGCAGTGAGGAAGCTTCTGTGGTTGTTGTGTCAGTTCCTGCATGTGTGTCGAGTATCTTTGAGTTCATATCGATCATGAGTGAGCAACTGAATAGGTCTGCGGAACAATCGTAGGGATCCTCTTCAAGCTGCTCTTCTTTGTTTTCAAAAGACAGAGAACTAGCTTCTTCGTCCTCCTGATCACACTGGTGGAAACAAATGCTTCTGGATTGACTCTTGTTTACACATCCAACAGAGTTCTTGCATAACTGGTCAGATAAACCATGTCTCTCACCTCCATTGGTCAGTGCAGGTGTATTAGTGATATCCAGTAATCCAGTAATTGTCATCTTTGTGTTACTTTCACAAACAGAAGTCGATTCAATTGATGAGTTATTGTCTTCTGATCTGATTTCCAGGTTGGTTCTTACTGCATCATTCTGATTTTGAACATTTAGATGTGGCTCAATTTCACTAATAATGTTAAAATCTTTTTCCTCACACAAAAACTCTGAAAGACTCTCAGAGAAAAGCAAATCCTCCCAAGCCAAGGAGCTTGACAAGCATGTTTTAGTGAGTTGTTTGGTAGAAAACCCCTTCATCTTAGAGCCGAGTGGTAAATCCCTTTTTTGGACAGGCTGGGAGGGAGTGAGCCAAGTGTTCAAGATGGGGGTGTTTTCAACAACTGCTGTGTGTGGGTATTTGGCAAATGATGGACTACTGTAAGAACTGTGCTCTAAAGAAAGAAGAGGTGACAGTGTTCTCTCCTCTGTGACTTTATGGTTCTCCAGGAAGCCTCTGTGTACATGATGCAGTGTTTTGTTGTTGTCTGTCTGTTGGCTGTTCTCATCTCCACTGACCTGGGTACTGCAGCGTTCTTCTTGCTCCGCGGATGAAGTAACTAGTCCGAGTGATTGTTGCCACGGAGGGGTCGGAGTAAGGGTGGAGTCTTGGTGCTGTGATCTAGGATGAAAAAAAAACAACTGTCAGGAAATGTCAAAAAAATAAGAAAAAAAATTGAAAAAGCAGATTTAAAATATAAAGATAAAAGCCATGTACAACAAGCCATGTTTTGCAGTATATAGGAAGGACAAAGACAGGATTCAGAACATAGGCATGATGTCAGTACAAGCATGCTGGACTGTCCATGGTGAGGCAACCTCATCTCCTGTTTTAACATCTTTAAGTTCATTCTTTGCAATTTCAGTCCTACAGACTCTGCCCTTGATATAAAGTATTGAGAATTATCAGGTTGAAAGCAGTAGTTATCAGTAGCTCCTTAATTGCATTACCTTTGTGGAGATGGGGAAAGAAGACCCGAGGCAGAAAGTGTGGGAATATTGAAGCTGGTGGCTGGAGACTGATGAGTAATCAGCAGCAGGGTTGTTTCTGGAGGTCTGGAGGTTTTGCTGTTGTCAGTTGATCCCAGCTCATACTCTGCAGCTTTCTGAAGAAGGATCCGATAATAACTGACCACTGTGCAGCCTCTCAGGCCTGTAGCTTTAGGAAGAATCATCTGACTGGCGATAAACTGGGCAGTGTCTTTACTGCTGGAGCCATTTGCAAGAGGTCCTCCAAACCAAAGCCCACTTTCTGTTCCGGTTACCTTAACGACACAGATAACACAGATGATTCAGATCACCCAGCATAAAACAAAATTTAATTAAACACACATTTTGGACATGTTGTTCAAATTGTAGCAGGAAGTATTAGTTGATAAGTTGATTGGCAGAAAATTAATAAAAAACAATTTTAAATTGCTGGTTTGTACTTCTCAAATGTAAAAATTTGCTGATGCTTTTTCTTGTCTTACATTATAATAAACCAAATATCTTCATGGTTTTGGAATGATGGTTTGACTAAACAAGAGATCTAGAGATGTCACCTTGGACTCCTAACATTTCATAGACCAAACAATTAATCAAGAAAATTATCACTAAATTAACCAATAATGAAAATAATCATTAGTTGCAGTTGCTAGTTCAGATACTCAGTATTATCCAATGTAGACCTGCAGTGTGAAACTGTTGTCTCCCCCTTCTGGCAGTGAGCATAATTACACAAAGAGCATTCTTCAGTGAAGAAAAGCCATACCAATGGTATTCTGTGTTTGTCCTTGCCTCTGAACACCAAGTTTTTTTAACTGGAAAATCAGAAACCTTTCTTGGATGCTTCCTAGGTTTATCCACCATAGGCTCTCCCATACTCCTAGCTGATGTAGCTTACTCAATCACCGCCCCAATGGTTGCTCCCCTCTTCAGCACTGGCAAACCAATCAACGTTGGTTGAAGTAAAATGCATCGCTAACAGTGCACCAGCATGGTAATGTTGCCACAGACACCTGGTTTGAAAAAGGCAGGCAGGTTTCTGTTTTTTTAGGTAACGTTTGTCTGTACTGAACTTTTCATCTTACTTGTGTGATGATAATACATTTATAAATTAGCGGTAATTGTCTAATGTTGGATTAACCAAGAATGAAAGAGAAGAGCAGAATATGGAAAATTCTGGCACGCGACTGGCTGTTATGCAAATGTGCCAAGAGTGCAGATAGTCGCTACACTAGTTATTATTATTATTTGACCATTGGCAAAAGTGGAAAACAGTCTTTCAAATACTCAAAAATCATTGTTAATTCCATTCAGAAATAAAAGTATATTTATGTCAGTTAATATGGCACAGACACTGACAAATTCTCTAACAGCTATTACACTGTTCCTGGCAGAGTTAAAGCATGAGGCACAGCTACACAAATAAAACAAATCACAATTAAGCATATAATATATTATTTCTAGCTGTAATTACAATATTACAAGTTGGAGATGTTTTTGAAACTAAAATAAGATTGAGATTTCATCAAATACAAAAAGACATTGAGAAAGTTGTCAAGATTTATTAATGTTTGCTACTGTGTTACACAAATCTAACCAACTAACCCACTATCCAATTTCAGCCTGTCATCAAGCTAATAGTACGAATAAGTATCAGTATTGATACCTGCCTTGCATAAGACATTATGATACCTAATACCCAATAGCAATAGTACCTTTATACCAAAGATGAAACGTCTGCCAATGAAACAGTCCTCGACAGCCTTCATCAACAGTGAGGCTCTGGTTGTTGCTCCAACTGGTACATCTGTGTTCTCCACCAACCTACAAAATTACAAACACAACAAAAATGCACACCGCTTTCCACTTAACTTGCAAAAAGGTGAGTTTTTCAGATATGTCTCATTAAACACTGGTGAAATACAGTTAACTGTAAAAGTGTATCCCATAGACACATACATACATACATACATTCCCAAATCCCATAGAATTTTACAGCAGAAACAGTAGATCTCAGCTGAAAAAAAAACTAGTAACATCACAAAAAGCTCATTCAGTTTTCTAAAATAAAAAATGAACCGTCAGATACAAAAAACAAAGGAACTATTTCACACAGCAAATGCCAGATATGTAATGACCGTCACAGTTGTTTAGGCCACTGTTTACTAACTGAACTGATCATAAGACAAGATTTGTCAAGATCAGGGAGGCTTACTATCTCTGTTTAAACATGTCCAAAAAATAATGCCAGATAATGACTGATAAGGTCATAAAAAACCTAAATTGTGTATGCACAATGTTCAATATGTGGGCTAAATGATGTGATGCTCTATATACAGAGCAACGAAACTGAGATGAAAACAAAAAAAATAGATGTGCATGCTTGAAATGAATATGACAGACTTTGACAAATAATAAATCAATTAATCTATCAATCAAGTGCAAAAATGTGGAGTTAAAAAAATAATGCCCTCTACTCACCTCTGTAATCCACTTGCATGTATGCCAAAGAATGGGTTCAAGCAGGTTCCAAATACTGTTACTCCAAATATGCATCTGTCCCGGGTTACCCTCAGTGAGAGACGATATCTGTAATCGACCCGTTCCCTCACACAGCTGTAACCGCACTTGGAACATCTGTATCTGTGGTGGGTAAACAGAATACACATGAGTGTGTAATGTGTAACTCAGTTAGAGGCAACTAGAATAGTGTTATATAGTTAATCTACCTTGTAGATAAATGTTATGCATTTTCCAAGTAGCATACATCAATTGCGGAATTCATTTTCAGGTTTTAGCTCAGATTAGCTCAGATACAACCTTTACACAGCTACCTCTGAACTTGGCACTTAATAAAGTACTGTTATTCATTTTCAGTTAACTTGGACAAGTGTACATGGTATGTAAACAGAGTAAGGTTATGAACGTTGTTTCTTTAGTCCCACTGATTCCGCTTCAGAAGTGAAACTGAAGAGTATTTTAGGTTGGTTGTGTTTTTACCTCGTCGTGTCCTGCTGCTCAACATCAATCCTTGAGAAGCAGCCTTTACAGCAGGGATAAAACACACGGGCATCTTGCACAGACAATACAGCACAATCCACCAGAGCCCGTCTAACAGACATTTAGTCTGCGAAGAGCTCAACCAAAGATACTATATACCATAACTTTCTCAAAGTCTCTGGCTTAACCTGAGGAACGGGCACTTGGCTTTAGCTAACTGGCTAAACCACGGCTAACTGAAACATCTAACAAAACGCAAAGAAAACGAGTGTTATATTAACTTCAGTAACAACAATTATGAATCAAGACAGAACCAAATGTACCGATACGAAAATGTGAAACACAGGAAATATCGGTTTTAACGTCTCTCCAGTTGTTTGAAATCACTCATTTGCGACACTATGTACTTCTTCTTTAGTTTGATTTACCGGCAGTTGACGAGTCAGCGTGTAGGTGCGTTACCGCCACCTACTGGATGTGGCTGTTAGAGTCTGTTATGTGTCTCAGTTGACTGGCAGTACAAAACAAGACTAGGTCAAAACCCAGTAAGATATATGGCTGGACCGCTTATGATCAATATGCAAAATTGAGGACGTGTAACTGTTGTAAAAACCGCTGTAAAAAGGTATCCATCCAATAACCCATTCAAAAACGCATAGAATTTGGGGCGAAGGACCCGAAAGTGCTATAATGCTAACAATTCTACAACTCTAACTCAGTCACGTGGTCCTTCCAATGGTGGAAATATGATCACTCACTCAGTCAGTCAGTCAGGGACATTCACAATTATAGGGCTGGCCCTGCTGTTTACAGCCCAGCCAAAAAAAAAAAACAATTACAAAATGTAATGTAAAAAATAGATAAAATTAAAATCTTTTTTTGGCCAATCACAAGAGAGAGAGAGTGTTTTTGGCTGTTCTACAAATGCAGATGTGTGTGCACGCTCCTTGAAGGAATCGATCTTGATAACATCAGCTACACCTGGACTACCATATTCCAGGTAAGGGGGGCTTTGATATGTGCAGAAATTCATTTGGCTGTGAAAATGTGGAAGAAAAACCATTGAGAGCAGGGAGTTAGTACCCAGCAGAGGCCTCAGACATCAGACAATTGGGTTTTATCTAAGAATTTGTTTAAATGTTATTTATCTCTCTCTGTCTCGCTCTACCCTCAGGTTGTCACAGGGAAGGATCGACGGAGATCACCAAGCTGGAACCATCACAGCATTTAATGTAAGAAGTAGGGAAAATGCATAAGAGAGGACATACAGTAGTTTTAATTGAACATTATTTAAACAATAATACAGCATCAAACAAATATTTTTTACGTAAAGATATAGTGGAGTTATTTTGGTATCCAGTCATAAGACCAGAGCACAGACGGACAGGCCACGGGGACTACTGGTTCACATCACAGTAGGCCGGTGGACCGCCAAAACATCTGTGAAGTTTTTACTGTTTACTGTCTTGTTTGGATGGTCGCACCGGAGAAGTCCAAGTCTGAATATCTTTCCCCATGGAGCCAGTACTGGTCTGGCCTTACCAAGATGGAGAGCCTTACAAACGGCTAAAGGGCTCCAGCTTGACTCAAAACTGGCTTTTCTTCTCCTCAATGTGAAAATAACTTGATGGCTACATGTTACATGTCTGATGAAGCATTTGCTTTGGTCAGAGATGCTGGTGGTCTAGTGCATCATCTAGTGGCAGTGACAATCGTCTACAGTACCTTTAAACTGAGGGCAGTAATACTTATATATAGCTTCCAGTCTGTGTGCCAGTCCCTCTTCCTTTCTGAATCTTGCTGTGGGTGTGTGTCATAAACACACATTTAGGGGGCGTTGCCCTTATGATGTTTGATCATGATCATTTGAGAGTTGCTCTTAAAAGTTACAGTTGCACTTGGCTGTGAAAAGAAGTAAGGTCTTGATAAAGGTTTTATTGTCCACACATGGTCAACAACATTTTTACTCTTAAGTTGGCACTTTAGAGACTTCTGTAGTGTCATTCGTAGATGTTTGATAAATATAGACCAAAATTCCGTCCAGACTGATGACTCAACGTATTTGAAATTCAAACACAATGATCATGTGGTCGGACACGCTTTATTACAATGTAAACAAGGTACAAGGGTCATCCACATCATAATCCATGATCCATATGATCATATCTGCAGTGAATGAGTGTAACCATAGTCCCAAAGATAGCTTGTGTTGTCTTCTAAAACAGCTGGAAATATTGGTGTTGGTTTACCACAGAGGGGCTCTGGTCAGCACCCCCTTCCAGTTGTGAGACTCTGCAACCTGCAACAGAGCAGGATAGTGTGTGCAAACATGAAACTGTAAAATGATTGGAAAAACATTGCAGAGAATTGGAGAACACATTCCTCGGAAGTGTTTCTTCACGCCATTTAAATACTCAAGTATAAGTTCTATAACATGGCAAAATGCAAGGTTTGTTAATTCGACAAAAAAATGTAAGTGGTCTGTGGAAGACCTCAGATTTATGAGTAAATTTCTAGGAAAGTCGGAAGGTATGCCTGCTAATCAAAGACAAAATAGATGCATTGAACCACAATTACCATAGCAACCTTAAACTAGTAACTTAAAATTTTAACTACATTGTTGCATGCGCATTATGTTTAATCAGACTGTCCTACCTGCATCCTCTTTTGAAGAAACCTCAGCTTCTGGTTGAGACATTCAATCTCCTGCAACAGGACAAAGAGGCCATGGTCAGGTGATTGTAGAGATGTACAGGAATGTAAAATACCAGTTTAATAACACAAGCTATCCCATTCATATTGTCACAATAAATATTACCAGGAGTAAGTGGCCAGGGTTACACTCATAAGCAGGCTCAAAAAAGGCTTAGAGAAAAGTGAAATACCTGGCCAAGTTTTTCATTGTGCCTGAGTTTGATCTGAGGCAGAAGGTCCTCCAGTCTCTGAATCTGTAATAAAACACTGGAATCTAAATTCATGTTCTGGCAAGTCATACTGTATACTGTATTGTTCTGAGCTATGTTTATCTGCTTTTTATCTGCTGTTTTAGGAGAATTAGAGTTAAAAATGATTAATTAATTAGTCATTTTATTGTGGGCCAGCACTACTGAATAGTTAAATTATAAATCAATTAGTTAGTGTGAAACATTCATCCTGTGCTGTCACTGAACCACTGGTAGTTATTTACAGTATGTCGTACCCTCCTGTCAATAGTCTGTAGCCTGGTCTTCATGCTCTTGTTGATCACAGTCATGGGAATGGTTCTGGGCTTGGGATGCACTGGAAACAGTAAAATAACAGCCATTACAGACATCAAACATTTGCCTTTGAGTTGAAAGGTTACATTTATGTTTTCACCTATATAATGTGCAAAAAATAGGTATAGTATGGTTCAGTCAGAAGTAAGGGTGTATTACTACATTCCTGCAGCAACTACCATGTGCACTAAAGCGATTTTTGACACAAAGTTTGCCAGGAACGGTGATACTGTGCTTCCTTTTCTCCTCCTTTGTAACTCAAAATGTATTTCAATCCATTCTGATTTGTACTTGTACATTTTTGAAACCAAGCATCTAAATTTAAGCATCTAAAGTGATATCTGTACAGGAAAATCTGTCATTTGTTTTATTAAATTGATCGTTGCCCATAAAGTTGGAATAATTTTTGTTTAATCTGAACACACTAAGGTGTAAAAACACTGGATTCAATAACAAATATGTTATAATGTGTTCATAAGCTTTAATTAAAGCATTTACCTTTTGACAGAGCCAGGCTAGCTGGCCCCATTTCCAGTCCGTATGCTAAGCTAAGCGTCACATTTATCGTACAGACTTGATAGTGGTACTGAGCTTCTCATCTAACTTTTCTCTATTTCCCAAAATATCTAATTGTTTAATTAACATTGTTGTGAAATGTAGAAGCGCAAAGAACAGGTCTCTCTCCAGAGCTTGATCCACGGTTTAAGAAAACACTGTCAAAGAGATTGTTGAATCCACTCTTACCATGCTGAAAGGTCTTGGCTACCTCAAGCACGTAAGGCCTGTGGTGAAAAATGTATGTGACCAGTAAACATCACTTAGTGCTTGGTAAATGGAGTATAAATTCAATAAATGTATAGAAATACAGAGCTCAACGTCCACAGTCAAGACTCCTCACATGTGCTTGCTGTTAGCAGGGATTGAGCTGTTCAGAGGGATCAGACAGCCATGATGGTTCCTGATCTGCACACAGATGAAAGCAGAAACTGTGTTTTTAACAATTCTAACCCCATACTGAAGATTCAGCTAAAGCAAAAAACATTTTTTTCCCTTCTTTTTAAAACAATATATTCTTGAAATATACTGTAGGCGTGAGGACAAATGAGTTGTTATACCTTGAAAATTACATCGGAAGAGTTCAGCCCAAAGTTAGTAGTGATGATCTGAAAAGATAAACAATACAAAAAGATGTATGAACTATACAACATAAAAAAACAACAGTTTGGGATTTTCCGAGGTTTATAAAAAAAATCTTATTCTTATAACATTTAGTATTTTGAATTTGTTTGTTAGTAGGTGAACAAGAGCAAAGCAGGTCCATTTCATGTAATATGTGTGTGAGGTATAACGAACACATGCACACTAATAGTTGTCAGAAAAAGGTAATCACATTAACTGACAATAATTGAGATAAATATAAATACAACTCAAAACTAAATCTTCCCAGAATATGTTTTGTAAGGTTCCCATATACTGGCAAATAGTTTGCAAGAATTATAACAAACCAAATCTCAACAAATCGTTTGTATAGATGTTACTTTTGTTACATACATTTCAACTACTGTGCAGGTACAAACATACAAGAAGCAGGTGGACCACTTTCAGACCTGTGTGATCACGGTGACATCAGCCACTGGAGGAATGGATACTTCTCGAAGAGCCACCACTCTGTCATCTACAACACATACACCATGAGGTGCCACCATGTCACCCTTTAATTAGAATTTAAATGTTGTTGCTAATGGCTTTATTAATGATTCACTAATCATTTTCTAGTTATCTATAGGTCAGACCATTATTTAGACCAACATTTAGGTACATGTGGTTAAAGACTTGATTTGTTTGATCTTAAGCTCTAAAGTTCCTCAGATCAACCTCTCCAACTGATAATTTGACCTCAGATCTGGAAAAGTGCTGCACGGCATCTGGACAACAATTTATTAAAGTAGTTTAGAGGCCTACTGTAATGAAACTTAAGATGTGGAAACTTGAACTACCAGAGCAAATATTCTAAGAATGGAATTTACCATCATATAGGAGACATTTTGTGTCTGGTATTTAAACTTTTGATATTAAAGGTCTTTGCTTATCTATCTGGATTCTTCAATGTGGGAGCAGGAACATTTATCAGTTTAAAAATATAGGCCTATAACAAGATAACAGTTTTTTCTGGAAACACAATACAAACATTATTCAATGTTTTGTTTTTAAACATGTCAGGGGGATTTTGAACATTGCTACATTTGGCAGGTGTGATGGATTATTATTTTAAAAAAACAACCAAACAAAAAAACTTTATCAATCCCTAACATTTGCATACCAATGTGTTTTCACAATGTGACAACCCAATGCTCATCAATAAAGTGATAAAGTATTAGTAAGATTATTTATGAACCAAGAAAGCCATTAGTTACAACCACACATGGACACAATCATTTTGTTTCACAGTAATTTCATATTCAGATTAAAAAGATTTTTAATTCCCTTTCTGAGTCGCTTTCAGAGGTCTAATAATAAGATCGTAACACTCAACAGTCAAGTGCAGCTGTTGCTGTTCTCTTTAACCAGGATATGACCGTTACCAGCTACACCTGCCCATTAGCTGCAGTAAAGAGAAAAACTTAAGGCAGAGTTGTGAATAATGTGTGTATGTATTTGAAATATATATATATGTATATATTTGATTTATGCCATTGTCTGAAAAAAGATGAGCATAATCACAATCCTTTCAATGGGTTAAAGAGGCTGGTTGCCATGGACACGGACGCACAGACCGAGTACATCAGTGGCTGAAAAAAAGATTCATCAACGATCGTAAAGTCGAAAAAAAAACTTGTAAAAACTTACGAACCATTTTTGTCAAGCCGCCGCAGGGCGATCCAGGCCTTTGACACTGGTGATGACTTATCAATACCTGCGTTAGACATTTTAATTTCCGCACAGCAGCAGCGGTCAGACCGGACACGACGGTACCCGATAAATCCGGCCTTGGACTTTCAAAATAAGACTTTATAAATCTAGCCTCACACAGTTCAGTAAAATATTAACTGTCCAAATTCACAATAAATGTAGTAGGCCTACATTTATTTAGTCAACTAATCTAGCTTACTTAAATTTCAACTTTTGAGACACTTGTAAGTCACTTGAGCATGTACATTTAGGCTACATTTCAAATATTATTGTAATTTTGACGCCACTGTCTACATTTATCTGCGACCTATTTAGTTGCTATAACATTTTGATAATGATAATGGTATTTATTTATGGTACACTTTCCAAAACCCAATTTACAACGTCTTTCACATAAGACAACTACATTTAACATAAAACGGCTAATTTCAAACCAATTTCAGTAATGTAAGATAAAATAAGTAGCCTAATGATAAAAGTAAATTTTGAGTAAAATAAAACTTAACGTATAATGGTGATGGTACTGACTCATATAACTTATTTTATTTTGCATTGTTGCAAACTCTAGGTCAGCTACAAAGCTTTCCTCAAGTGAATGATGACTACCTGGCATTTCAAAATCTAGTGGGACTGCCCGATGTTTTGTTTTCAGAGCAGAGAAGTGTTGAGAGAGAGGAACATTTGGGCAAATAACCAGTAGAATCATTCACCAAGGTCATTCTTTATTAAAACCCTCCAAAAGTGATGTAAATAACCAGATGACTACCTGTTTTCAGATAACTCATTACATGTCAGCAGAACAGCTCTTGCAACATAAAGCTCTTTTGTGAAATGCACCTCTTCTGCATTTGAGACATGTTGCTGAGAACACTGAGAACAGATTCAAGATGTTCTTGCATTAGTAAGTTAACTAATAATTTCTTCTTATGAACTTCAAAAGAGAAGGCAGCACTGCAACATGTGAGGCTGCCCATCTGCACATATTACTCTAACTCTGCTTCTGAAATGAAAACAAACTGTCAATGCTGCCAAAAAATGTTAATGTATTGAACCCACTTGTTTTTCACATAATACAGATCATGTGCATTTAATTATAATTTACATAAATGACTTTGTATATAAAACAATTTATATATAAGAGACAATTAATAATGATTAATACAGAAAAACTAATTCCAAATGTTGTGATTATGAGACTGGATTCTGTGCATACTGGCTACATACTTTTCTAATTAGGCCTTTGATAAACGTGGGAAGACAGTTTCATCGTCCTCACAGGAGCTGCGACATACCTGTCCATACCTGCTACATCCGGTATAGGACTTTCAAAATAATTATTTTCTATTAGTTGTAAAGCAGCAGACGAAAGCGTGTGCGCCACTGGTTCCCCCAAGTCATGGTGCTTGGGGCTTTCAGTGGTGCGGAGTACACAGAGACAATATGGATTCTTCCACCTTTTCTACATGGCCCTAGTTATTACACGCTTAAACACAAGTTCACTAAGCTAATTCTTGTTTTATTTTTGTATTTACTCCATTTACATTCTTTTACCAAAATCTGCTGTCGGCTGAAGTCTTTTTATAAGTGCGTACGTTGTTTCTCTCTACTCTGAAGAAAAGGGAGTGGGATGCACTTCCCATGAGCTGGTGGCGCAACATTTCCAGTAACAGCTTTCCAGACCAGGAAGCCTCTCGCATTATACTGTTCTCACGCAGCAAACTATGTTCACCCCGAGAGAAAGGCGTAGCTGAGTTTGACGGTCGTTTTCGATGGAAACAAACGCATTAAACCGTTTCAGCGTTGAGTTAAACAGGTAATGTTAATACTTGGAAATGTCTGTGTCACTAAAATAATGAAATTGTTGCGTTTGAGGAGACAAAAATATCTGCTGTTATGTTTGCTTTCAGGTCATTCGGCGATAGGATTTTTATCCTGCTTATTTTAGGGAACATTGTGACTGTATTAGCTCTTCCTGGTACGTATATTAGACAGGTAGACAGTTTTTCAATAGTCTACTTATGTACCACCGCTCTCTCACTGACAGTCTCTTCGGTTAATGTCTGTTTCGTGCAGGAGTTCATAATGAAACGGGCCCAAATCTGGACTGTACCAACGACTTAGACACAGAGATGTCTTGCCAATTTGAAGCGCAAAACTGCTCTGGATACGATGTGACTCTGGTTTGGAACGAGAAAAAAGCGTGAGTTGTTCTTATTCAGTATGTTTTTTTCAGTATTCAAGTGTTTCACTACAGAGCCAGTGTATTTACAGTGTTAAATCGTATATTTGAAAGCTTAATTTTGGTTTTTAAATCAAATAGCCTAAAATTATGATAACGGTGATTTTCACTAAAGTTGTCAATTCAGTTGATTTTTCAATATTGTATATGTAATATTAATATCAACCCAGCTAGAAATCATCTAAAAATCATCTTTTATTCCACAGGCCGGTGCAGTGTATTCCTGAGCAGTGCAGTCGGGGGTGTTGTTGCTCTGTCAAAACGATAATTGTTCTTGGGGAGAGTCACAACGTAACAGTTTGGAAAGATGGCCGAATAAGGGAATCCAAAATCATCAGCATTAAAGAGAGCAGTAAGTTGACTTCTTTGAAATGAAAGTCCACAAATCTGTAGCTGCCAGAAATAGATGGACCCAGACCTAGAATAACAGCGAATGGGGGCAATAAAAGATGGAGGTTAGCTAATATATTTCCTCTTACTTGTCTTATCTCTGTTCCTCTACAGTAAAGCCCAAAACCCCAACAATCATGTCAGTGCATGAAGTCAACGGGAATTTTCATGTCAGGTGGAAAACGAACATTGATGACATTACCAGTGATATGTTTACGCCTTATGTGATATACCATAAAAAAGGAGACACGGAAAAGGTAGGAGCAATGTCATAGGCACTGTGTGACACTGAGATCGTTTGTCCTGGAGATGTAGACATAGACACAGGCATTTGATTTCTTCTTTCTCCATACCAGGTCAATATGTCTGTCAGCAAATCTACCATTGGTGGGTTCAATACCTGTGTAATACTTGGTCAAAAATTGGAACCAAGTACAAAATATTTGGTCAGCGTGCAAACCTACACTGATCGGAGTGGCAAGTTCAGTGACAGTAGCAAAGAGTTGGAATTCACAACCCGTAAGTGTCATCTTTACAATCTTTTTATCACTTCTTCTGCAGTACAGTGTATATATGTGTATCAATTGTATCATAATATTAGTGTCGATATCAAAGCAGTTTATCTGTAGAAAAAGGAGTCACAAAATCAATGAGACACAAATGGTAAAGCTGAACCAGAGGACCTATTGTGTTAAAGTTCATATTATCATATCATATTAGGAGTGTGTGAAAAACAAAGTGTTTTATGACACATTATTTGAAATCCAAGACACCTGTAAAAATAAAATTTTAACAAATTTTGGGAGGTAACAAGGCATATATGTTGTTCTAGGCATATATCATGTACTTCTATCTAGTTTTTTTTTCTCTGTGCTATGTCGTTTGTACAATAATGAGTGATTTGTAAACTTATTTCATACATGTTACTTCACAGCTGCCTCCTCTAATGTCCTGCTCATCGCACTCATCATCATCCTCAGTATTGCTGCAGTCCTAATCAGCAGTGCTATATTTGTCTGCTCTGTAAAGTAAGGACTAATTGCCTCATTTGTCTTTTCATGAAAGGCATTTCCTTGAGATACTGTAACTTCTGTGTGCTGTGTTTATGAAACGTGTGTCATTTTGTTGATTTTAGGTTGAAGACACGGTGGTGGGACCTGATTTCCAAAGGTCCAAATCCAAAACTTCTTATTATGCATTCATATGACCAAGAGGTGAGACACCGAGTGATGTAAACTTAATGTTGGTCAAAAATCAAAAACATGTATCTCCAATTTTTGGCATCTTTTTATTTTCCTTAATCACACGTAAACATCAAAGTCATAATCCTTACAATTTTCACAAACTCATAATATTTGTCATTGCCATTTTTTTCAGAAATAGACATCCACTGCATCTACATTCTGCAACTGCTTCTTTTGTAGTCGTTTTCATTGTTAGTGCCTTCACACATGAGAGATTCACAGGAGACAATGCAGCATGTAACCAGGCGTTACCGACATTATATTCTGGGAAAAATATTCATGCCAATTCAGTTCAAACAATCTGAGTTTGTTTGGCTGCACTGTAAACTGATAAACCAATAATGCAGCTGCTCCAGCTGCTGCTAATATTAAACTGTATGTGTTGTTACCATGGGAACCACAGTTGTCACCAAACCATGAAGGACTGCAACCTAACTTTAAAACTTTCCACATACTTTCAAAAGCATGAAAAAAATCAATGTAGAAATGCCTTTTCTACACTTTTAAATGGTGCACGAAGAATGAATTGGATAGAAACATTTGTAAACTGACCCCTTTAACTGAAATGTTTCTGATCTATAGTTTTAATTGTGTTTCCTTCTGTGAATCCTTCTTGTTTCAGTGGTTGAAACCTGAGCCAACCATTATTTCCCCTGCCTGTGTTGAGACCCTTGTTCCTGATGACGGCAAACCATGGTGAGTATGGCTGCATTAGTGCATCAACAGTACAGCACATTTCCTTTCCATTTCTTTCTGTGTGATTATATTGGCATTTTATGTGGCCCTTTTCTCTGTGTTCAGGTCGAAGGGGTCACTGACAGACAATAGCAGTGGGAGCTTTCAGCAAAGCAGTGGAATCAGCACTGGATCCTCTTGTCTCAGTTATGCTAACACAGAACCTGCTGATATTATAGCAGGGGTTCATGATGCCCTTGGTAAAGCCTTCCCCAATATCAGTCCAATATCACCTTTGACCACCAACCTGCTCACAGAATCAAACAAAGACAGTGGTTTATTCTCTGCTCCCAACAATCCCTGTAGTGTCAGAGCTGATGACGTGAATTCTGGATCATCAGGCTTTGACAATAAAACCTATTCCATTCTCGTTCCCAACTGCCCACGTCAGATTATGATGGACAGCTCTGAAGTCCAGACACAGGATGCAATGCTTTGTGACTCTGCTTACCATCCTAGTGAGGGTGACATGGTGATCTGTCCTGACCAACAGGTACCAGCGTGTCCGCTTCTTAATTTACCACCGGTGGTTTCATCTCCAATGCCATCAGACATGTCATATCAGCCGTGCAATGCAGATTCTGGACGATTATCACTTGCAGACGACTCCAGTTTGTCCTCCATCTCTAGTGGCACCAACACAACCGCCTCATGTGATCCTGTGTCCAGAGTTGAGGCTGGATGTGACAGCTTTGAAGAGGCCACCATATGTGATGACAATCCCTGCTATGGCTGCATGCCTGCTGGCTCACCCAACTTTCCTCAAGTGAACGATGACTACCAGGCATTTCAAAGTCTAGTGGGACAGCCTGATGTTTTATTTTCAGAGCAGAGAAGTGTCGAGAGAGAGGAAGATTTGGACAAATATCCAGCGGAATCATACACCAAGATCCCTCCAGTCACTCCAGATTTCATTAACAATGTTCAGAGTGACCAGGGTCTCTCTGAGCTCCAAAGACCTTTTCTCTCTCTGCACTCTGCTGAGCCTATGACAGTCATTACAGACAGCAGCTATCAAAGTGTGTAGCGCTGAATCTTTTCCATTAACTTCTGTGACGTTAAATAATAAGCCTGGCTGAGAAATGTTAGGATGTGAGAGAGGGCTTCAGTTTTGATGTTCACTTGTGAATGATGGACTTTGAGATCTATTTAATAGCTTTTCCTGCGGTTCTAATTCACAACATCTGCCAGCACCTTGAGCTAACATTGTTTTTTCAGCTTCGATATTACTAGTTTTAAAATGGTGTATATATTTTGGTGTATATATTTTGTTTTTCTATTTTGTTGCCTTGATTCAAAGAAAACAAACTTTTGCACATTAAGAACAAGTAATTTGTGAATACTTTGGAACTGTGCAGTGTTTAGATCACATGATTGGTTTTGATGTGAAACATCCATAAAGTTTCGTATATAAAAGCATTAATGTATAATTTCTGTCAGAGAACAGAATGCAGTTGTTTGAGATAAAAGGCTTTGAATGTGTGCTTGCTACAAATGCTTTAACAAAACAGCCACAGCCAACTCATGTATCTATATTTCACAGGTAGTAGTCAACTAAGGTAATTTGTTTTTCAAATTTATATTTGCATATCTCATGATCAATGCATTTTCCTTAAATGTTTAAATACTGTGAGAACCACACTGTCTGAATGTCTTTTGTAAGACTTCAATGATGTTTAAATGTACAGAGCCATTTCTGGTAGTTCATCTCAATCTCTTTGAGCTGGATTTGATCAAGAGAGTCATTATAAGAAAATAGCATACACTTTGGTCATCAATCCTGAATCTTTACAAAGAATTATATTGTAACTGGCTGAATTCTTTGTCCAAAACAAGCCACAACAATCAGCTGACGTGTTATAGCTGGTGTGGTTTAGGGTTGTGAAATTACTTCCACATATCTCTTCGCTGGAACTGCTGAGGCACTTCCACAGAAAGACGCACTACACACACAGTAGACTATGCTTATCATCACAGCTAAGGCGTGTAACTAAAACAACCAAAACAAAACTATTTCACAATAAAAATATGTTTGTAACTGTGAGCTAGTTGTAAATGTTACTATTAAGGGTTATTTTTGTTTAAATAAAAGTCCCTTCACATTGTGGCCTGTGGATTATCCTGAGCTGTTTTTGATTCACATAGGCATTGCTGCTGAGTTTTCAATGTTGTAATGCACATTTACTTCACTTGAGTTGTTGTGACAGATGTCATCTTAGACAAATCTGCAAATAACATTAAAATTAACCTGCACTAACATGGCTAAACACAGTGAGAAAATGCTTGTTTAGACAATAAGTCAAGTTCACCCCAAGTAGCAGATTTTTGTTACTGTGTCCTACTGTATGCACAAAAATGCCAGGTCATAGTTACATAACTTACATCGTCTTTGGTAGGAACTTGTGATAAACTTGTGATTGCATAGAAAGACATATCCTTCCTTAATTTGGCATATTCTCTGTTAAAAGGGGGTGTCAGGGCAGGACATGATTTGTGGAGGAATATTTGAAAAGTGTAAACAACGGCACAAAAAATTTCAATTGATTGGAAGGGCAGAGAGATGGGATTACATTTAATCACTTACGATACAAATTAAATTAAATGTAACGTGTTATATCTGTGTTATGTCATTTTAATTATAAAATCTTTGAATTTACTGAATGATGTTATATTGAAATAATAAAATTGTATTGTTTTATTGTAAAGTCTAATCTACAGGTAGTTTTAACATGAGAATGACTTGCAGAATGCAGAATACTGTGTCATTACCACTAAAATGAAGACAGTATTTAACAGTTACTGTAATTGTACTGTAACTGATGCGTAATATATTAATACACCATACATGGTCATTCCAATGCAATGTGAACTGTAAATGATACTGTATCAAACTGTGTGTTCTGCATGTTCAAAATGTGGAAGTGAACACTGTTAAAGGAAGCACACAAGGGTGATAACTTTTATATAGACCTGTGTCAGTGACGGCTCTGTTGCAACTTGTGGAGCAGCTCATCTGTCACAGCATTAACTCTGCTGCCATCTGGTGGTCTATACATTAATACACACCCTCTCACAACTTCATGCAGAGCCACATGAAAAAACAACAAGATCACCGCTATATTTTAGGATTGACTTTAACCCAGTCCTGCATGCAACAATTAAATGCAACAAACTATTGCTGTACATGTACCATATGTTTGATTTTGAAGAACTGTAAACAAGTGCTTATGATAGTGAATCCACTGTTTTGTACGGCTTATACTGCATGTAGAATTGCAAATAAATAAAAAACATGAAAAACCTGTACAAGGACCTTCACAACTCTCAACCTCAGTCTCACTCATGAGGAAAACAATATACAGCATTTAAAGTATTTCCTGTAATTGGAGGAGCCACTTAAGCAGTGAAGACGGTCATTGGAGGGACTGTCATAACTGTAAGGTCTTTGATTGGAAGAATCCAAGGGAGGAGCAAAGGTGTCCCTGAGTAACCTGTGATTTAATCTGAGCTCCTATGAATTTTTCAGTTACTGCTGAAACTTCTGTGTAGTTGGTGACACACCTGTACCAAACACCTTTCTGAATACCTGGCGCTTAGACATCAGCATGCAACAACCAGGCCGGCTGAGGCTGAGGCCGTGGCTGGAGGAGCAGATTCAATCTGGGAGGTATCCAGGGGTCAGCTGGCTGGACCAGGTAAACCCCTCCATTTGTGTGCAAAAAAACGTTGTTGTCAAGCATGAATCAGAAAAATACTATTGAAAAATAATTTGACCTGTTCAATGCTATTTTATTGTACTTTGTTCTACAGTCAGCACGGATCTTCCAAATCCCATGGACACATGCCGCTCGTCATGGCTGGAGTATTGACCGAGATGCTACACTCTTCAGGAGCTGGGCCACATACACTGGTAAGAGCCCCACACAAATACTTTTGTGTTAACTTTTCTTATTCAATCAATTTTTGCCTGATACCTTGCATGCTGGTACTTTGATGCTTTGAGCAACATATGAGTAAACACCCAGTAGTAAAAACTTATCTTGGACGTCTTTAGTTAGCATTTTTCAGTTTGACACGGTGTCCTGGTAGCTCGATAGGCAAGATGCATACCATAAGTTCACAACATCCCTGGTTCAGTTTATGCCTGGGATCTGTCAATGAAGGTTAAAACAGGTTTTACTGGATGTTTTCATTAAAGAAAAAAAATGGTCTGTCGTAGGCTACAAAGAATAATCCTCATTACAGCAATTCATTTCTTCAATTTACATACTCTCTGGAAGAAAAAAAGTTTAAAGACGTTATCAAAAGTTAAAATGTGGATTTTGGAAATTATTCAACCATCCTGATGAGACTTGTCTGTTGACCTGCTTCTTCATTGGGGAAGATGTTTCCAGTGAAGAGCAAACATGGTTGTACTGTTCAGTCCATGTCTTTCTAGATTAACCACATTCTTGAGAATTGTACAGCAAACTTAGATAACACCAGTCTATACCAAATAAACCTATAAATCAAGGAAGGATAGCCAACTGATACTGATGGTTATCTGCAAAAAATCATCTCATTTCAGTCCAAACTATGCATCTGCACCCTGCAGTGACGGCTAAATACCAAACTGAACATAAAAGAATTAGAACTGGGAAAAGATTTGGTCCATTTGGTTTTTAGTGTTAGGGTTAATACAAACTGCACATTTAAAACCTTTCCAACCCAGTTGCTGCTTAGATTTCTGTTTACATTTTACATGTTCACAAGGTTTGTAAAACTCACAATCAAGCACAAATAATTTACAGTAATCCTTTTGGTTTATTTAATTGACATCTCCTCATGGTAATCAATAAATCAGTAATCTGTGTCAGATTACTGGTTACCTCCTTATCATATAAATAGCACTGAGTGTGTTCTTAGGATATTGCCGCTTCATGGATTACTTTGAACAACAAGAAATAATCTCATGACCAGATGTTTTTGCTTCTGTTCTGAGTAACGAGTTTAGTATAGACACACACACACACCCATATGGGAAACCCATTACATATTTCTGTCTTGGGAAAGTCATGGTTCGTGACTCTAGCTGCATCACATCACATGGGAAAGCTCCAGTTCAGTTGATGTGAATGTGCAAGGTGATCGTATTGCTGTCAAAGTTCAACAGGACATCTCAAAATTCATCAGATTTAGAATAATAACAATAATAATCATTATTATTATACACAGGATGTATAAGAATAATCAGCGTAGTTATTCTAAAGTGAAGTTGTTACAAATGAAGATATTCAAGTCATTAATGACCGAGCGGGGCTGTAGTATAAAGCTGCTGCTACCTCTGCTCCTTTTTTTCTTGCTAGCCCTTGCCCCTACAGATCATTTACAGCACAAATGATCTGTAGTGGATCTTTTTAAGCTCCAGTGACTTTTTTCACTGAAGCTGGTGAGAGGACTGGCTGAAGTCCAAATCACACGGTCGTTGCTGGGGTATATATATGGTTAGTAGTAATATAGCTGTTAAAGAGAACTTAAGTAAAGCGTGCACTGTGATAAATGCTGATAAAATGTTAAATATAGATTACTGTTGCTGAACATGAATGTGCGTCTTATATAAAATTCCATGCATTATGGTGGAAACACTTCCTGATGTGTATTCATCATTTCAGTTCACTATCTATCTATCTATCTATCTATCTATCTATCTATCTATCTATCTATCTATCTATCTATCTATCTATCTATCTATCTAAAAACTAATGACACATCTTCTAAAAAAGCATAAGATATATGTATATATTGTACATTGTGTATTTTATCATTGCCTGTTCATTGAGAAGAAAATTTAAAACTGTTTCGAAATGTACTTAGTATATGATGAAGACTATGTCATACTGTGATATATATTCCATATATTCAAATGTTTATACATCAGTTATGAATGCTTCATAAGAGGAGTTATAGCTGTTTACAAAGACATTAATAAATTATCAAAAATGGCCTTACATCTGTTTGCAACCACACTATAGTGTGTGATAAACCATTAACTTAATAAACAGCTTTACAAACAGCTTAGAAATGCTAACTGGAAGATGAGAGGTGGGGGGTTAAAATAAAGTATTACCAACAAATTGTTGGACATCTAATTAGTCTAATTAAGGTGTATCACTATGCAATTCGCCAGCATAGATATGTTTACTTTCGGTTGGACTGGCTTTTTCCCCAAGATATTTCCTTGTTGGAAAGAATAAACTAGGTTGAAATATACTGAAATGTTCCATTTAAACTCAAGTGGTTTAACTTCTGACCTTGTTGCAGTGAAATACAGGGATGGGTGTGACTACAGGTGCAACAAAGCACACTCCTGACCCAAAGCCAAGCATAGCCATCTGTCATGCTGAGTGTAGTCAGAGGTGAAATAGGCTTGAAACTTAAACCAAGCTAGTTAGCGTTCACTCAGAATAACTGCCAGACAACTTAACTTACTCGCCAGAAGGTTATCCATCATTCACCCCTGGAACATTTGCCCATTTACCGCAATGATTGTGACTTTATGCAAATGTGATGCAAATTATATTTGTTTGCATTTCATGTTCTAGGTCTTTGTCATATTTTTGGTTGAATTTGGGTTGCAGTTGGATCATTTGTGATCCCATTTTTCTTTGTTTTTATTAACAGGCACATTTAACCCATATCTCTTTATTCATTAACTAATCTTGAGGTACTGTCTTGAGGAGAATTCTTGTTTTTTTCAGTTTTGTGCTCACAGTATAATTAACATGTTCTTAAATTGTTAAAAATTATTAAATTTGGTACCACTTTACAGTAATGCTACCCTTATAAAGAATTTATAAATGGTTTATAATTAGGTTATTAATTCAGTTGTTAATGCTTTATAAATCATAAATAAACAACTAGAAAATTCCAGGGAAATTTTGAGTGCCAAGGGGGCTACTACCGGGATAGGGTTAGGGTTAGGGTAAAAAATCTTCTCTGTGTCACTGTAGCGATGACATCACGCAGCCCTTGGCTGTCAGAGGTCAGGTCAGGAGCTGCCGTTGCCATGGCAATGTGAAAATCTGCCCAGAATTTGGCTTCTACATGGCTTCAAACAATTGCAAATTATGATAAAACCGTTACTTCTTTTAAAAAACCGAAAACACCGTGACAGACACTGAAGCCAGAAGTTTCTTACAGTCTCTATTTTATTCAGATATTCCTTAAAATGAGTGAGTAAACTCAGTGCGAAGACAGAGTGAGATTCTTTTGAAAAAAAAGACAATTACATTAGGTGTCAATGAGAGTGAGACAGGTATTGCTGCCGGACTCGGCACCCCTGTTTAAATTTTGTGCAGACCCTGCCTGTCAAAGTTACATTTTATGAATCCCAACAACTATGTCTACATTTTCAGAAAGAATTATTTGTCTCCTTTTTACGGTTTGGCCGTGAGCTCGAGTTAAAAATAAAAATAAAGGTTATTTTTTACTGCTTCACGCACTCTAGCCAACTGACGCTGTCACTCTAACTTTGAAGAAAAAGTGATTTCCACTCCTCCTTTGAGTGCTCATAGTTTGAAAAGTTTACATGTTATGTAAAAACAGTTCCTGTCTTTTGGAGAGAGCAGAAGTTTTCCTCCGTTTTATAGTTTGAATCACATTTCTACGTGCAAATTTTGTGGGTTTTTAAAGAAAATTCCAATGCATTCCTAATGCATTATTTATTCCCAGTATTTTGGGAATAACTTTGGGAAAAATTGGAATTTTAACACCAAAATTCATAGCACCTCTTTCGGGATCAAGACGCACGTTTTGATGTATATATTACCGGGGTTTTCTCAAAGCTGCGGGACCAGTTACGCGCCAAAATTTGGCGGAATAATAATAATAAGCCCGAAGGAATATTAATAGATGCCTCGGGGCACTCCTCTCAGCTATTCCTGTGGCACTAATAATAAAGAAGTTATAACACAGTTTTCATACATTGATGCAGGCTCACTATTTGGCAAGATCAACACTAAAAAATTTCTGTAAATTTAAGGAAAAATTTAAACAATATAATCCTGTTATCTTTAAATGCAGTATAGAACTGGAAATTTTTCTCGGTGAAATTTTTCGTAACGGTATTTTACAGTATTATTGCTTGGAGGAAAGAAAACAATAATTTACCGTATTTTTGCAATGAATTTGGGGAAAACAGAGAGTGATACACGTCTGACTGGACAATGCAGCTTGATGTTTTTTTTTACCCATCTTCATACTTCAAATGAATAGGTGAGTGCCTTTTTACCTTGCTTGTTAGCATAGGCAAAATACATCACATTTCCAATCAAGTTGTATTGATTATCTAGTAGAATGCCATAAAAAAACCAAGATAGTCTGTTGAGTTCTGTCTCACATGTTACATACAAGCTGTCTAAAACATCTGATCAGTGGAGCATGTTAAGGAAGCTTTTCTGACACTAATCAAGGCGAAACAAACTATTACTTACCTTATCTGTACCATGAAAGTACACTTTCCTATTTCCCCAACAACCCTGAATACACACTCTTGTTTTTCAGGCCATTCATCGGGATAAATCCTGACAGAGGCACCAAGGCTTGACGGGTCAAAGTCTTGGAAAATGGGGAAGGTCACTCAGAAAAAGATGGCATCAGTCAACCCTTGTGTCTCCAGTCTACTAAGGAAATTAAGGACTTAATGTAGCTACAACAGTAAAACACTTATGTAGAGTGAGACTCTGCATAAATCAGTTCTCACACTCACTCACACACACTGTTAGTGTGTTAGTCACACTCTTTTTTCAGTTCACTTGGCCACTCATTCACTCCTTAAGCTGTTCCCTCATACAATCCTTATAAATATACACATACAGTACAACAGCTTATGTTAGAGAACCACTTGATTATTTTTGATAATATTTCTTGTGTTTATTTGTGTTCAGTGTTTAATGTTCATGCAGACTACAACACGTGTTACAGATCTTTTTTAAATGACAAAAATTTTGGTTTATTTGCATGTTGTGTTTTTACAAGCTTAATAAAGAGAGACACGGTTTAAAAAGACACTTTGAAGCAGCATTATTTGTCTTATTTATTTGTCTCTAATTATTTTGTCTTAAAATTTTAATTTTTATTCAATGTGTTAAAATATAGAGTTTTATAGCAAGACTGTAGTCCTTTTTGTTAGCAGTTAATTTATCAATAGCTTATAGTGCAGCATATTTTATATATATGCTCTGTAAAATCTGTAAATATAGCTCCTGTGAAAAAAGTGTAAATAAACAGTAATAAACTGCTAATCCTTCATCAGTATTTTACTGTAAAAGTAAAAAGTAACAGCTTTTTGCTGTATTTAAAAACTGGTAGCAAACTGTAAATACCAGCAACAGCATGGTACTGTTAATTTTACAGTAAAATAATGGCAAACCTGCTTCCAGTTGTTTACTGTTTTTTAACGGTGAAACATTTAACAGTGAAGTTAATGCTTTCTACTCATTAATCTTACTAATGAGTCAGTACCATTTATAACTGGTAAAAGGAGCCTTATTGTAACTGATTAATAAATGATGTTTTACACTTTACAATAAGACTCCCTTTTACCAGTTATAAATGTTTGTAACTACCTGGAATGTCCTAAAGAAGATACCAACCAGCAAAAAGCATCTCAATTTTCATATCCACTGTGCTGAACAATCTGATTGAATTATAAAGTACACAAATATGTGAAAAAGCAGCAGGTACAAACGCTGGATGATGGAGGAAAAAAAAAAAGCTCAGTAACTAATGAGATATGAGGCTCAACAGTACAGATAAATGTGGGCTCACTATTTGGCAAGAAACAGGTCACTGTTTCCATTTTTATCTGATGTGTTATAACAGCTTATAAATGATTTATAAAGTCTAAACAAGCTAATTAATAAACTAGTTATAAACCATTCATAAATCCGTTATAAGGGTAGTCTTATTGTAAAGTGGTACTAATTATTTTGTGTTTAATCAAATTACCACAAATCAAATCTGTGGCCAGGTAATCCAGCATAGAAAACTGTACAAACTGCACAGAGAGTGGGAAAAAATGGGGGTTAAAAATGGCACAACCCAAAAAACACATACATAAAGACTAATGTTTGTTCCTGTGCTTGTTCACCTCAGGACGATACCGTCCAGGCAAAGACAAGCCAGATCCCAAAACATGGAAAGCGAATTTCCGCTGTGCCTTGAATTCTCTGCCTGACATCTGTGAGCTGAGGGAGCACAGCAGGAAGAGAGGCAGCAATGCTTACAGAGTCTACAGGATGCTGCCCAGCACACAAACACACAGACGCAGGAGAGGTAGGACATGTACTTAAAATGTATGTAGGCCTATCACTTCAAAGGCAAACACATTTTATTCTCAGAGAGACCTCATGCACTGACAGTGCTGTCCTGTCCTCCCCTCTCTCAGGGCTGCGGTTCAGCAGGCCCAGAGAAAAACAGGCAAGTTTAGGTGATGATACATACACCATGCACACTTGGCAACCCACAACAACGAGACCCACTTCAGACTCCCCACAGAGGATGGAAACCCCTGCAGAGGACATATTCAACAGCACACAAACATATGGTGAGAGGTTTGTTGGCGTGGATGTTGATCTGAAACACATTGCTTCTGTAGCCTCATGAGGATGATTGTTGTCATTGTTGTTGTGCAGGGATGTGGGAGGCCAAGCCAGAGGACCAGGAACAGAATGAGGCTGTGTTTAAGGTATCAGACCTTTAACTTACTGACGGACTGACTCAGTGCAGTGAATCATAGTTTTCTGAATGTACATTGTGTGGTTTAACCTGTTTTGTCTGCTGTAGTTGATGGACCACTTAAGCAACGCTGACCTCTGGAACCAAACTGGGGAGCAGAGAAGATGGAGAACACACACACTGTGGGATCACTGGCACTGTAGGACACTAGACATATATTTATTACGTATATATATGTATAAGTGTGTGTGTGTGTGTGTGTGTGTGTGTGTAGTTGTCACTGACTTCTTTGTCATTTTTTTCCTAGAATTCATAGTTGGCTATTATAGTAGCCTATAGTTATGACTTATGACTTCTTCAAATAATTTGTAAATTAATTAAAAACCCACATTACAGTAGTATTAGGCTATTACTGTGTGTTCAGCAATTATAACTGCATAACTGTGAGATAAGACATGTCAAATAAATACAATCAAAGTACATCTTTCTCAGTTTACCATGCTGCAAAAGACAGATTAAATGTGTAGGGCAAATGTTTATGTAAGTGAATAATGACATGCTGCAGTTGTAAATCTGTGTCTCTTATTCCTTGTGTGTGTTTACATGTTGTTGCTCTGCAGGTGCTGGTGATGAAAACCCATTCTCTCTGAACCCAGAGAGCTACAGTGATCTGTTTGGTCCAAACTACATCAAGGAACTTTCTGATTGGACCACAAATCAGCAAACACTGATGCCTTAGCTGTGCACCCATGGCTTGTCCTCCTATACAGTTTGAGTTTACCACGTTTGATTAAAAGCTGTTCTTACTTCAGGCTTCCTTGCTAACCTCCAGCTGTCTATCTGCCGAGCTGACCAGTGAAAGAGAGAAACAGGAGAGGGCGAGCGGACAGATATATTGCTCTGTCAGTCAGTCGGTCGGTCATCCTCTCTGCTGAGCATGCTGAGATGAAGATCCTGTTCCAAGCCAAGCTTTACCTCTGTCATCATCACTTGGGTTCACTATGGTTCAGTGCCTCAAACTCACTGAAGTGACACCAAGCTCACACCACAGCTTACAGAGTAAACAGATATCATTTCGCTTCAGTGCAGGATCAGTTATTGCTGTACTATTTCTTTGAGTTTGACTGGATGTTTAGCCAACATGCAGTAAAATAAAGTGCAGAACACGGAGGCAGGACATGTGGCTTTAACAGTATGTGTTTATGAGTGGAGTTCAAATCTGACTTAAGCTACAAAATATGTGTTTTTTTAGTCCGTATATACAGTAAATGTGTGATCCCTATATGTTTGTGCCTTTGTTTTGAACAATTTTTAAGATTTTCTCCATTAGATACTCATGATAATTTTGTATTTTTGTGTTTTGTTTAAAGCAACCAATGGTGCAGTTTGTCTTGTGTGTTACTGTATAACCTGTTTTTTTTAAATAAAATTAATAGATTTTAAATAATCCTGTGTTAAGAAAATGTAAAAGCTAGTAAAGCACATATATATATATATATATATATATTAGCTCAAGACATGGATCTGTAATGTGCCTTTATTGTTTATTGAAATTTTAGAACTTACTAAACACTGAATTAACCACACAGAACCATCACTGTTCTGTTTGTGTGTGTGTGTCAATGTATGTTTCACACTGGCAGCAGACGTAATTAGATAAAATATAATTTGTAAGGAGTTCTTTGCAATAAATAAATAAATGGTCAGACTCATTTTGTAGCTGTAAAAAGGAAAGCATGCAAAGTACCAAATAAATCCAGCCACAAAGAAATCTAAGTCTCAATCTCAGGATCAGTTAACAAGGATGTGATCTCATGAAATCTAATCTCTTTGGTCTCACTGCAAAAACATTGCTTTTAAAAATCTTCAGACAGGTTAATAGAGGTTAATACACTCTATGTGAGGACACTGCAATTAACATGAAACACTGAATGAAAATGAGTGCAGTAGTTTCATATGAAAAGCTTCAACATATTGATTATAACTGCCACTAACTACAAAACCCAAAATACATATTTTATCTGTGCCTGTACTTTACATCTGTTCCTGTTGGCAGACGTAGAAGAAACACAGGTGCAAATAATGACACTAATCACAGCTCCGTTGGATTGAAAGTGTCAGTGTCATTCCAGGCATACTGGCACACCTGAATGTGATGCTGCCTTTAATTACACCTCTCCCTTATCCTCTCATGACCCCTTCCATTTAAAACTTGATCCACCTCAGCTAAAACAGTATCAACTATCTAATCATATCATGAGAAATAAAGGGCTTTTTTTCTGCAGGAGTACTTTTACTTTTTATGTACAATTTTTTTTTTTTTTACACAAGTATGCGTTTGTATGCGTTACTTTTAGTTGTAGTGGAGTATTTTTGCTTTGATGTAGCAGTACATTAGGATCTGTGCATCCCTACCACCATTGGTTATTGTGTGTTTTTAGTTTTAAAATCATCTGTGCTTTAATCCAGAAAGACCCATAGATGGGGGGTTTCGGCCTGAAGTGAAAACATGGAGCACACAGTTGGTCAAACATCAACAGATAACATTTATTTCTCTTTGTTTATTCTGAAAAATGCAGACAGATGAACTTCCCTGAAAGTGGGAACTACATATCAGGCAGATCCTCAGGAGAAAAAAAAAAATTAAACACTGCTCCAACCTTACCTTCCCAACAATGTTATACAGGAAAGTAACCCAAAATATGTGACCCTGAATACAAATAAAGCATGGATCCATTACTTTTATGTTACGTATTTACAGTATTATCATTTAAAAAAACAAAACAAAATAACTCCTGTGACAGGAATTCCAAAAAGGAAACAAATCTTTTAAGTCACATTCAACCAGTCCACCAACACAGCCTGCTGGTCACAGAATATACTGCAATCCCATTATGTCTGCACCTGCACATACAGTACTACAGCATTTAACCCAGAGCTGGAAAAAACACAAACTAGTCTACACATATGTGGATTTTTCTACACAGGAATTACTACAGAAACATTTAAACAGAAACATTAGATCTCTGTGACAAGGTTTTAACCTGATGAATCACCATTATTAAATCTGTCAGTGAATGTTGGGAAAGTGTTTACCAGTGGGTTTAAGGCTGTAAATGATAATCTGGTATTTTATGTTGCCTGGTACCAACACCAAAGATCTCATTCTTGTATCATGAATAGTTTACAATAGCACTCATTTAACATCAATCTACACAGACTTTTGTTCGACTTAATAATACCACATCACATTCTGTTATTGAATCATGGGATGTACATGGAGGACAAACAATCACTTGTATTAATAGATCCAGGTGTGCTGGTTTGCTCCACACCCCCTGGCCTTTCTGATTAATTATATTTTCAATGGAGCCTGGTTTGGAAATTTTGTCTACATATGACAGTACAAGGGGACAACAGATGTACCAGGCAGTCAATGAAAAGAGAACACTAACTCTAAGCTGACCACTAATATAACTGACAATCAACATAAGCAGGCATTAAGAGCTGCACTTATTTATCCCTAACAGAAGAAACTTGTATAAAAAATGATATCAGCTTGAAAAAGGTGGGTAAACATTTGCACAAACAGACAAAATGTGAATAACTTAACTGAATTGTCCATATATGTTTCATGTTAAATGGTTTTGACAAAATAATGTTGACATCGCATGAGAACACCTTTTAACACTGAAGCAATGTGATCGCAAACACCACTGCAAAGGTGGGTCAGGTTAGGTTGAATTCCATTTAGAAGCCTCTGTCAATTTTAAGAGAACTAATATTTGAGCTTTCAAAGAAACTTGCAGCTCCTAAGACCCCCAGAGGGATAAAAAAAAATGTCTGCCAAACAAGAACTTAAAAATTATTTTATGTCAAGAGAAATCATCCAAGAAGTCATGAAAGGACAAAGTATGTAACACAAACTGTCCTAGCAAAAAGGAACAGCGGTCACAATTATCCAATAGGGATATGATGGACATATAGTATGTAAGCTAAAGGTATCAAACCTTACCCACATTTGTGGCAGTGTTTGCAGTGGTGATTTGGTTACTTCCAACTTTAATTCTTAATCTATAAGCCTTGAAAAGAAAAAAAAACGTATATAAAAATATGAATCTTTTTGAAAGCACTAAGCTACAAATTACACTAGTAAAACAAATAATGAACATGACTTCAGAAGGCAGATTAAGAAGTTCATAGTTTATTAAAATTCTATATGATTCAATCTAAATGAATATAAAAAAAAAGTTGAAATCAATGCAAAATTCCTAAGCAAGTGTGAGTGTACAATGTATGGTCCAGTGTACTCTACTCATTTCAAGTTTATTACAAAACAGCAATCTTCAACCCTGAAAGCAACTCAGAGAATCATGAGTATTTTTCAGAACAAAACAATGAACATATATCGCTTTTTGCCTTGCTATCTGCTACCTGTCCTTTGATAAACCTCTGAGAATAAAGAAGGAAACTGAATGTTTCAAATCTCCAGCGTGGCCCAGCCACCATGAGGTCCGTTTACAAATCAGATAATAAATACAGGCATCCAAATGGGCTACAACAGCAAATATTTTTGAAAATATTTTCCTCATGCATACACACAAGCATACATCTGACTGAGATTTATGAGCTTTCTAAACCCTCTTATCTATTCTTAACAGTTACTCTTTACAGTGCAACAGTATGGCAGCAAATGGATAGCAGTGCTTCATTAAAAAAACAAAAGGAATGGAAAATAAAAATATATACAACATTATGGAAAAGCAGTAGTTTCATCTTTTGGTCCTGCGTCCGTTACAGACAGAACTGCTTTTTGAAAACGCTTCCTCATATCAACAACAGTAGTTTCCACAAGACTGTGAAGGGCTGTGGGGGGAAAGAAGGGGAACAAATGTTAAGATGCCGCTGATAGGTGCTCCAAAAATCACACAATTTTACTATCAAATCTGAATCTGACTGGTCAAAGTTTGGTGAGGAAGTCACGTTGTCATTTTGCCTGTCCACATTTTTTCCCCAAACATGTTTGATATTGAAGGGCGGAATCTCTTCAGCAAACTGTAGAGTGACCAGATCCGAAATTGAAAGGTGAAAGTAACCATGGAAACATCCAGTGGGAGTTTAAAAATCTAGGCACAGTGCAACATTAATGGTTAACCAGTCGCCTGAGTCCAGTTGAAAGCCATGCCTCTGCCCAAATCAGGCCAGTGTTGAAAAATGAAAAACCAAACTTGGAAAAAAAAGGAAAAACTAATTTTACTGACAGCTGAGTCACTGTCACAAATAAAAATGGAACTGGTTATCAGCACAACAACACAACAAAGCTAATCAAGAAGAAGCAGGACATACATTCCTTCATGCAGGGATGAATTCCCCCAAAATAAACATGACTATATAAAGCAAAGTACAAATATGGGCTATGTGGCATTTTTCCTTTTAAAGCCACACATGCCAAGCTCGCTGTTGTGTTTAGAATCGCGTTGTTAACTGGAAGGTCTACACAATTCAATATTTACGTCCTGTCTTACCAATAAAGCACTGCAGCCAGAGGCAAAAGGCAAGAACTTTCCAAACCTAAATTATATTTCTTGTTGTGATTTTTTATTCAAACACTTGAGTGACCTACATTAAAGAACAAAAAAGAGGTTTTCTTTGGAAGATCTGTTTACACACAGCTGGTTGTTTATCAGTGTTTACGACCTTTTACAAGTCACAAATAGTTGTTTACATAAACCATGCATGAGCTGAGCTTATATGGCTTGTATGAGGTAGTGAAAATTCTGCGGCTTAATATCAGTTCCACAAAGGGATGAAACAGCAGCTCTCACCTTGTTACAACTGAGAACCTTCAGATCCTCCATGCGCATAGCCCCCTTTAGATTTCATCTGGGCCTGAACAAGGTCCACCTACAAACATCAAGTTGGAAATGTTAGTTAACTGAAATGCTGTAACCGCAACTTTCTGTGGATTTAATATCCTGAAGGGAGGATTAAAAACCTACTGATGCCAATCCTAGGCCCATGTCCCCTGAGCCTACATGTGTGGTATGAACAAAGTTTGTTGGCTCTCCGATCATGGAACGATCGATCCGTCGCCGCCGTTTCTGAAAATGGGTATCATTAACATTAAGTTTTTTTTTTAATCCAAATGTATTTAATGCAACATTACTTCAAACAAAACAAAACAAAACAATTCATTTGTCTCCAGTTTACTTTTTGAAACTTTGTTTCATGAGCAGTGGACCTGCGCAAACCAAGGCAGAGGTCGATGTTCGTGATTTCATTTATTCTATCTGTTAGTAGCCAGACTGGCTGACAACAACGAGCCACAACAACTAGTTGTTTTCTGCCACAATTATAAACCTTATTGAGTCTAATAGAGATGTAAAGGCCCTGCCACTGCCATATTTAATCTATAAGCAAAAGATGCTGTACTTTATATTTTGTCAGGCACAACACAACTGCAATATTATTACAAGAAACCGTCTAAGAATGAAGAATATTCCCAATTATCATAATTTGAGTGAAATGTAAGATTTTTTGGGCCAACTCAGTTTATCAGCCTACACACGTCATACCAATTTCTACTTTTAACAAGGCAGCTACATTTATAAAAAAAAAAAAAAAAACGACGTAAACAAGTTTGTCTTCTATGTTAATTTCATACTCACAGGTTGTGGCTGCTCTGCAATGCAGCAGCTGAAACAAACCCAGAACTCAGTCATTCTGAGGCTGACGAAGAAGCCACAGCAGTTTCCTCTCTTAGTTCAGACGTCTCTCTGTGTCTCTCTTCCTGTTCAGTGCTACCAGAGCCACAGACACACAGGAAACTGATGACAGACACACGCCACTGGTTTCTCTAGGGTGAACCGTTGGCACGAGTACTGTTCTCCCAACACAGGGCAGCACACTCCTGTCGAGACGAAAAAACAAAAACATCTTAATAAAGTGCTGACACATTTTGTCAAATCAGCCAATACAGTCATGGTTATCCACTATTTCTACACTTAAGTTTTGTTTTTGTTTTTCCTGCCGAGCAATCATAGATTTCTTTGTGGGCACCACTGGTGTCATAACTAATGACTCAAGAGGTGGGGACAATAGTATACATACATTTTTCTAATGAAAAAAAAAAAAAAAAAATTATATTTAAATTTCTGTAGTGCCTCAGTCAGTTTTCTAAGATTGGCTTAAAAGTTGGGCTACTATTTTCAAAATCAACTACTGTCACACACACATTTCAGGTATTTTGACATCCTCATGAAAAGTAAAAGGAAAACTTTAATCTAAAGAAGTATGTTGTACATAAGGAAATATTTATGCATTCTGTGAAACTGTACAGGTCTCAAAATTGAGAACCTGGGTCATGTGTGTTTCAGTGTGGGATCCTGAGCAGTCACCTACTACAAAAGACAGGCATTCAAATTGATCAATGTTTCGCTTTTCCTTTTGAGGGTGATCTCAAGTTAAACAAATTAGTATTTGATTATAACCTTTGGCTATTTTTACTGAATAGCCAGGGTTTCACTTTTCAGCATGCTGTTGTTAACAAAGCAGCCTTGATAAGGTATATATTTTAGTTATTATCTCCCTGGAACTGAAATAACCTACAGGATTTATTCGCTAACAGGACATGAACAGAAAACCAGGAGCATCATTTGAAAAAATTACTGACATGCCTGTGCTGTTACTACATGACTGCTACATATACTATATTGTAGGGGGGGCACTCTTTTAATAGATGATGTGTATCTTTGTGTTAGAATGCTGTGTGCTACTGAGAGGACATAAAGACAATGTGTACATTAGGAGAAAAGGCTGTGGTAAGACTGTAGGTGCTACAGTTACATTTATATGACTTAATTCACAATTTTGTGGTATTTTGTGGTAAGATATTTTCGAAATGTGTCATCTCAGTGAATATAATGTTTTTTGATATGTACAAATTTACTTGGCTGCAACAGACAACAGGATCAGGAATTTTTTCAGCCATTCTTGCCGACAGGAGATGGCAGGAGGATCAAATGATCTGCCAAATGCAAAGAGCTCGCTGACAAAGTAATTTCCTAATTTGCAACTGTCTCTGCAGCTGACGGTACACATCGCTGACATTGAACTGTCACTGAGCACTCCGAACAGGCGAATCATATTATCAGGTGGCAGGGAGTCACAGCAGAGGTGCTTATTCTTGATCTTAAAGAGCGTTGAAATCCTTAAAGGATCACTTACACTGACTCTTGATCTCGGATTAAACGAACGTAGTCGGTATTTACAAACAAATGAGCGTTATGTAACTTTGCACCGCTGCGGCAAACACACTTCACCAGAGTCCAAGAGCCCGAGCTAAAGCTGCTGGGTGCACATCAGTGGGGTTACCGATGGCACCACAGCGTTTCAGGATTCATTTAAATTGAGTAGGTTTATACGAGCGGCGTTGTTGTTTGCAGCCAACCAGTGTTAGCACTATCAGCTGCTAGCAGAGTTAGCTCGCAGGCTACCGTTCACCAGCGCGCTAACGGCAGCAGCTCGGTGTTTTTTTCCACTGACAGCTAGCTAACGAGGCTAACCGTGCCCGTTTCCGAGAGTGTGACTTGAATGCTCAACAAAAACGGATTGTAAAGCAAACGAATCTTCCCGTTTACTGTTTACCAGCGATATAATAAACCTATTTCCGGGGGTTATTGTAATTTCAAGTGAATGAACTTACCGGATGGCAGCCGGCTGGCCAGAGTAAAAACGTACGATCGACTGAAACCTAAAGAGTGCAAAAAACCAGGAACTGCGCTCGCTGATTACGTCAACCAGCTTCCGCTCAAAAGCGTGACAGCTTCCGTGTTGACCCACGTTTTCATGTAGCTCGATAGAGACGAAGTTATAGGTTGATAAAAGTAGTTCTAAATACTCAGGATGAGGCCATTAACAGATGAAGAGACGAAAATAATGTTCGAGAAGCTGTCGAAATAGTAAGTGAACCTGAACGACATTTTTGCTTTCCTTGTTTTCCTGTTGAACATCAAATTTGACTGAAATATCTAGCATGCTTGCTCGTTAGCGTGTGTGTGAGATCCGTCTGTTTTCTCCACAACAGCATCGGTGAAAACATAAAACTACTAGTGGACCGGCCTGACGGTACCTACTGTTTCAGGCTCCACAGTGATCGTGTGTACTACATGAGGTAATCCAGGATAAGTGAGCACAATTGTTGTCTTATCTACCAATACTTTTACGTCGAGTAGTTCATGTATCATCGTGTTCTTGTTTTCCACAGTGAGAAAATTCTTAAACTGGCTACAAACTTTTCCCGGGACAAGCTCGTGTCAGTAGGAACATGTTTTGGAAAGTTCACAAAGACCAGCAAGTTCCGCCTGCACATCACAGCTCTGGATTTTCTGGCGCCCTATGCAAAGGTGAGGTGACTATGGGTGCATCTCATTTGTATCTTTGCTTCCATCGTTTGCACACATTCCTCTCTATTTCGCTCGTGCCAGTGGAGGCTGGAGTAAGATTGAGGAAACAGAGGATGTGCGGCAATACAAATACGCGGTGAGGTGACACTGTCCTTTTCAGTTGAGCCCCAATTTGAAGTGATGTCAAAAGACAGCTGCACCACTGGAGCAGCCACTGGATAGCCCAAGGTGAAGTCTTCAGATGTCTCTTTTTTGTCAAAACACATCAGTCCAAAAACACCAAAATACCCAGATTGCAATAAAAAAAGAAAAAAAAAGAAAACAAAGTCCTTATATTGCAACTGGAACAAGCAAATTTATGACCTTTTAGCTCTGTTAAAGACTTAATTCATTAATGACTAACAAATTACTTTTTCCAAGTAAAAGCCCCTCGCACTGTGACATGACAAGATTTCTTCTGTGAAAAAAGTTCTGAGTATATTGGGGTTTTTCTTTTCTTTTAACAGTAACGTAAAACCTGTTTACCGAACTTATAGTTGTTATATATTAGAAAGTATGTATCTAGTTGCTGTAACTGGGTTGCTACGACAGACACGTCTACACAGGGGCCCTCATGAGACAGAATTAATTAGGTAAACCAGGTGTAACCCTTTTAAATATTGAACGTCACTGATTGAAGAAAAAAGAGCTGGTCCAGGTTTTTACTGAGCAACCAGATACCTTAATCCTGCTGCTCTACTTCCTTGTGTATGTGTGTGTGTATCTTTGTCAGGCTCTTCTGGGGTCCTGCCTTCATTTACAAAGATTTGTGTTGAGAAGCTAATGAGGAGTAGCTAATGTTTGTGCACACAACTTTTCCTGTTTCCATCTGTTTCCATTCTTTAATTTTTAAAACATTTCATCACTGCCACTAAGATTAAGTTAAGTAAACTCACACGTGTATGAATAATATGGAGCTTCCTGTCATATCTTCAGTTCAAGGTGTGGGTGAAGCCTGGAGCAGAGCAGTCTTTCCTCTACGGAAACCACGTGCTTAAGTCTGGGCTTGGGAGAATCACTGAGAACACTATGCAGTACCAGGGAGTTGTGGTCTATTCCATGTCTGACATGCCTCTGGTAAGTCTTATAACTATGATGCTCATTGCTTATATACTCTGCCAAACAGTTCAAAGAGTTGTTGTAGTCCACCAGTGGGATATATTAAACTAATGTCTTATCCCTCAGGGCTTTGGAGTGGCAGCCAAGTCTACACAGGAGTGCCGGCGAATGGACCCCCTGTCCATTGTAGTGTTCCACCAGGCCGATGTCGGAGAGTTCATTAGGAATGAAGACACGTTAACATAAAGCTGCATCAACAACAGGACTGTCAAATCCCCCCTCTTCATTACCGCTTTCTTATCCAGTAACAGTCACTGAAATTCAGACCCAGAACAGCTGTGGTTTTCTTTTAACCTTGAAGTGGTAGGATATAAGCACCTGGTTAAAGAGCACCTCAATAGGTGTTACAACTGGCCCATATTTCCAAATCAGTCTAGGGACTGAAATAAAGACCTGTATTGACTCACTTTGGGATACCGCTAAGGTGCCATCTACAGGATTTATTTGTCACAGAGCCTCTTGATATTCCACTCTTGTCAAAATGATGCGAGTGTTTATGTGAGTATCTCTCTTGTAAATGTCATTTTTCAAATAAATTCATGTCTTTGTATTTATTTCTGTTTTGGTGAGCTTGCTACTGAATAGGGGGGCTGCAGTGAAAATGCATATATCAGCCACCAGTAGAAATACATGACACCATTGCAGGTTTAATAATAAAGAGACAACTCATCTCACAAATTGAATAGCTGAAAATTTATTGAACTAGATCATCTAATGAACATAAAGTTTACAATAATGTCACATCATCATCAGTGTTGAAAACAGGAAAAAAAGGACCGGACTGTGCTGAATCACTGCCCTTGAACTTGTCTTCAGTCTCACACCATATTTGACTTCTTCATTGTTCTCCATCTGTCCTTGAGATTGACGTTTGTTCGATTACTGAACTTGTAGTGTGCCTTTATCTTTCCCCAGTTCCCCTCACCAAATTTTCTGACCCCTTCTTTCAACTTCTGTGTCTCACTCTCAGTCCATCTCTGCAACACAACAGGAACACATGGTTACCCTTTTCCTACTGTGGCATATAAGTCCAAAACAGGCAACAATGCTTTTGTTTTAGTTTTGTCGTTGAGTTGACCAAATCCATGTTATGCTTTTTACATTTGTTTGTTTAATTACTATGATTCAGGTTTGATATTCTCACAAACTACCCTGTACATAATGCTTCACAACAGATTTGTTACTTAATTTAAGACCTTTGAGAATTACAAATACTTACCCTCTTCCTGTGGCTTGAAGATGAAATGTTGGTCTCGTGCGATCCTTTGGGAAAAACAAATAATATCACTGCATGAACAAGATTTTCCCAACTAGATTTAGACAGAATTAAATTGAAGCAGATGTGTGATGAAATGTTACCGCTGTTCTTTCTGGAGTTGACATATGACTCTTCGTCGCTCCAGCTTTCCTTACTTTCCTTTGCATTATTGTACAGTTGTTTCCTGTGAACAAGAGGAGGTTTCTTTTCATTGATTTTTTAAAATTAATTAATCTCATTCTGATAAATAAACTTTTATAGTTAACTCATCAAAATATGTAGCTTGTGTGTGACTTTTAGACACTCAAATGAATATTGGGACAGAGAAATGTTATATCAAAAGCCATGTGAAAAGTGAATTAATCACAATGGCAGATAAGGTACGGTACACACACACACACACACACACACACACACACACACACACACACACACACACACACACACACACACAAAATACTTATTGTTTTTGTATGGTTAGCTTGGATTCAATCACAATGGGTGACTCAATCAATTTCTATCAAAAGCTGCTGGTGTAATTTTTACTAACCATTTTGAATGGGAGAGACCTTTGTCTTGGGTGGAGTCCTTGTGTGGAGTGGAGCTTGTCTGGGGGACGGGGTCAGGTGTGGACAGGTTGGGCGATCTGTCCAGTGAAGAATCCATGACACAGACTACAACTGCACTACCTGGATTGCTGCATAAATAAGGTTTGTCAAATGTTGTCAATCCTTGAATCGTGAACAAACATACTGACAACATAATAAATGGAATTGTATTTGGACTTGCTTGCTGAGAGGTTTGCTGGCCAGTTGTTTGCGGGTTTTCCGCACTGGGGTTCTGAAGGAGGCCAAGGACCCCTGTGGGTTTTCCTCATTGTCTGATGACAACTGTTTTGACTGGGTGGAGTTTCTGCAAGATGAGAGTTGAGTCAAATCAAGCTTTATCCAGAAAAGGAGAGATGTGTTTTGACTAAAATGTTTCTCTCTCAAGTAGTTAAATTCAATAGCCATGTTTTCAAACTGTCACAGTAATTACACAATGTGTAGCCTACTTATAAAGATTCCCACCAGATCCTGTAAAGTGGAATCAAATGTGAACCACAACAAACTAGATAAAGCATAAAACACTGACAGTTTCAGTCACCTAGTTGTAACTTAGCTTAAGCACATTTGGACTTACCTGGTGAGTGAACTGTTGGACTGGTTGTGGAGTTTTTCCACATGAATTTCCCTGTTGGCCACAGAGCCAGGGGGGTCCTCCTCACTGTCTGTTGACTCTGCCAAACTAGCTGAGGCTCTGCGTGACAAAACAGTGTTTGTTTTTTTTGTCTTTTACAGCTACACACTCACTGAGGAATACCGGACCACAGGCAATCTGCTCATAATGAAATGTGCTATATGAGGGCAGGCATAAAAAATATCTGTGTTCATAGAAATGCACAACCTACATCATCAGAACCTGTGTAAAAAAAAATATTTATCATTAAAAGACAGAAAATGTATGTGTATATTCTATGTAATGTCACTGGAATCAAGTGATCTGATACTGATGATACCGATTTCTTAAAAGTCCATGTAAAATTCACTGCTTGTGCTTCTGGTACCCTGTTTTTATTAATTGGGCTTACTACTACAAAATATCAATACATTCCTTGATTGTACCAGTTATTTATTTCAGAGCATAGCGGATGCATGTATTACTTTAATGACAGGATGTATCATGACATAGATGTAATTTGATGCACCTTGCACTTTGGAAAAACTCTCTGGTTGCTTTCATCATGCTCAGACAGCCCTCAAGCTCTGAAGTGAGAACGGCTCAAAGATACTGCCTGCTTGACTAGATCATGAGACACCACTTGAGTCAAAACCATCATCTCAACTAATTGTGAGGAAACACAAGAGCAGGTCTGCATGATGGAGACAGAGAGGCATCGGGTAGTAAAAACTGAGGTTTAAGTAACATTTATTTATCTGCTTGTTTTAAAGACAATTTTTTTGTGAAATTGAAAACCATCAATCATGGATGGTCATTTGTAATAGACATCTGCATGATATTTTGATTGCCATTTTACTGATCAGAGTAACCTCCAAAAATGAATATCATTATTTATGTTTTAAATTTTTATCATTTACCTGCTGCAACTTTTGTTGGCTCGTCTGCGGAGCTTCCGTGTGGGTTTGGTAACCTCAATGTCCGTTAATAGGCTCAGTGAGTCTTTTTCTTTGGATAGAGTCGGTGACTGTGGTGGCTCTTCTGTTCTGAACTCGGTCTCTAGCTCCTGAGAGACAGTTGAACACTGCAAGCTCGCCTGGCTGTCCGGTTCGACCACTAGTTGTGCCACAGTGTAAAGCCGCCTCTTCCTCAGCACTGAGGGTGTCTTTGAGAGTGAACCTGCCTGTGTTTGAGGAACAGCATCCATTTGTGGTGGTTGGTCAGCTGGGGAAGCCTCCATTGGACTGCCTGATTCTCTCTGAAACAGCTCGTCCTGATTGGCATCCTTTTCGGGAGAAGGCGAGAGGCGCAGCGAAAGGTCTTCTTCTCTTGCCTGCTGCTCTTTCTCCACCTCTTCCTCCAGCCAGGCAAATGTTCTCTCATCAGAACCTGCAGCCAAAGCCTTGTAGACTTCCTCCAGCCTTGTCCTCTGGATAATTTTACGTTTACTGGAAGATAAGATAGAGACAAGAAAGAGTTTGAATAGGGTATTGTAGCCAAAAATGAAAGGGGGGGGGGGGGGGGTCACAGTGATGCCTTGGCTCTCTCTCAGAGATATGCCTACTAAAAATGTAGAGAGATCTGGTGTCAGTTTTCTTCCGTCAGTCAGATGATGCACAGCAGAGAGAGGCGGCGGGGACACAATCAAGAAACACAGATTTTAAAAGCTCTTTTACCACTGCTGTGATGCATCCCAGGGATGACAGGAGTAGAGGCAGTGCGGGCTGTATGATGTTAAGTGAATTAATTTAGTATTTCAACAGTAATTATGAGCTTCTTTGAAATGAACAGAAGTTAACTGAAAGGGAGAGAGCGCCTACCATGGTACAAATGAGACGGTGATGATTTGTGGACTTGCGCCAGGTTCATCTTGCTCATCAGGTCCAGCTATTTTGTCGTCTTGCTCCGTAAGCCTTTTATCAATTAGCTGTTTTGCAGCCTGGCAGACATACAAACCAAAAATAGAAAATAAGTATTAAGACAGACATGAACTTAACCAATAAATCTACAATATCACATCTGGACTGGCTGAAAAAATGTTAAGGTCAACACAGGCAAGGATTTCTTTTTGAACTTCTACAAAAACATTCTCAAAGACTTGACGGGACTTACGATCGGTTAATTGAATATGCTTCTAAAAACTTTTTATCATAAAATTAGTGGTGTTGACAAATCAGCTTCAAAAGGGCCAGTAAAATCTCAAACAAAACTTTTTAACATTCAACAATTCGTGACCACTTCCATTTGAAACTCCTCATAACCTTTAAGAAGGATCACAAAAAATCAGTGTTTCAATATAATGAGCCCTTGTCTTGTGCTTAATTCATAGCAACATACCTTGTGCAGAAAGGGAACACTGAATGAGCAGAGCCTCTGGCAAAAGGCCAACATCTCCTCCTTGAACTGGTGGAAGTCGATTTGCTCGATGACTTCATGCCTTTTACTCCTCTTGCTGATGAGACCCATGAATATAGCTTTCTAAGACAGAACACGGGCACATACTTACACATAAACATGAAGTCAAAACTGTGATAGAAAATGCAGCAAACAGCTAACCTTACCGTTTCACGACTAATTCAAAGACATTCTAGTCCATCTGTTAACATATCTAACATAACAACCTAATTTTAGTTACATTCAGTTTCAGTTATTGGTATTGCACACATCATCAAAGAACAACCAATAACTAACAAACAAGCTGACAAGTGTATTGTTTATACTTTGCATCCAATGACTGAAGATGTTATTTTAAAGAAGAGCTGCTGCTTCATCTGCTATTTGGAAGTAGCACCTTACATCACTGTACACTCACCGGCCACCGGTAGGCTGTGGCGTTTAAACGATGCTCAATTGGTACTAAGGAGTCCAAAGTGTGCCAAGAAACATACCATTACACCACCACCAGCTTGAACCGTTGATACAAGGCAGGATGGATCCATGCTTTCATGTTGTTTGCGCTACATTCTGACCCTACCATCCGAATGTTGCAGCAGAAATTGAGACTCATCAAACCAGGCAACGTTTTTCCAATCTTCTATTCTCCAATTTTGGTGAGCCCATGCGAATGGTAGCCTCAGT